TTTAGCTTAGTGAAAAACGTTCTAAAAGAAAAACTGTGTGGTCAACATCGTAGTCTATTGGTGGTAGTACCTGGAACAATACTCCAGTCTGTGTGGAAAGCCAAGCGAGTAGAATTGGAAGGCCAAAAGAACAAAGACCCATATAACTGCAATTCTTCGTGACAGAAGGACCTGGGCAGTTGAACAGCCCTACTTGCCGAATTCGTTCAAGTCTTGCTATGTGAAGGTCCAAAGAAGCCTGTGTTTGTTGAGGAGGCCGTGATCAGTGGAATTGAGGTGTTCCGGTAATGATTATTGTGTTGAAAGTTCGTGATCAAGCGTTGTGAAGGAAAATCAAAGAGATATCATTAGTTAAAAGGTATTGCAAAATAAGGATAATAAGAAGTAAGAAGCAATACATACCTGTATAAGGATGGATATTCTTTTAGTATCATTGGTGAAAAACGTGGTGAAAATTGTAGTTGAAGTTGTGAATAACTTGAAGTCGAAACAAGTAAAACAACATCGTTATAAACCTCGGCTGTGTTATGTATACCAACATAAAGGACATTTAGCTCTTGATTGTCTGGATCAAATGAAGCATGAACAATCGGAACATGGTATAGTGATACCTGAAAACGAAAAAGTGAATGTAGATGAAAACAATAAACAGAAAAAAAAGAAGAATCATACGTATCTGGTTGATAAAATTGAGGATATAAGGCTTATTAGGTTTGGTAATAATAAATATGCGAAAAGCATTCGAAGGCGTGGTAAAAGTGTTAAAATGCATAAGCCAAGAACAAAGGGGAAAACAAATGTTAATTCAGGTGGTCAAGGCAATTTGAAAATAAAAAGAGGAACAAAACTAAAAGACAAACCTGAAGGTTCTAACGAAAAGAGGATATTCAATCGTTATATAAAAGCTGCCGATGACAGATATAAAACAGTCGAATGGAATTTAAAATGTGCAGAAGGTGGTAGTTTATATAAACAGTGTGATCTTGGATTATGTGATCGAAATCGAATAGGCGGAGCTGATGATAAACAATTAGCAGCTGAAGGAGAATTAAAATTTGACGAAGAGGTTCTTGACAACTGCTATCAAAGTGATGAGGCAATAGTAGTGATGGAAACACCATTGGATGAAGTAATGAGAATAGATGCGATGATGAGGGGTTTATTAGAATCGTTGACAAAAACTGAGTGTGATAGTAACGATACAGATAATATAAATAGTGAAATCAAGGAGTGCGAAAGGGGTGTTAATGAAAAGCAAGAGGATACAAACAGAAAGGTGATTGCAAATAAAAAGGAAAATGAAGGGGCGTATGGAGTGAAAAACAAAAATATTGAAAACATACTCATCTATGATAATGAAACAGCCCAGAATGTCAAATCTAATTTAGTATTCAGTGATGAAGATGTTGAAAAGGATGAATATGAGACGTTCGTTCATTATCAAAAATCTGCTGAAATGGTTCACATTAGTGAAGGAGATAAACCGGTTGAACATGAAGTTCTTGGTTATGCTGGTGAGGCTTTTGACACCATAGAGGACTTCAGTAAGGACGAAAACAAAGTATTCGATTATCAGCAAAGAACCATTGATGTTGGTAAAACTGCTAGAATTGAAGTTGATAGATCCAAAAATCGGAAGTCTGATACTTCTGATTGCGAGACAAATATGCTTCGATGGTTTTGAGAAGTGAATATCAGTCAGAAAAGTCATGATCAAGACTGTTTCAATAAGGGAAGGTCTGACAATTCAAATGAGCAATCCAGCCTTGGAGATGGGATCGATGAAAATAAGCTAAATACTAATCTTGAAATAAAGATGCCTCCGATTAATGGTGCAGCCAAAAGTCTAGTTGAAAATAAAGATCTCAGTGCTAATCAAACCAAAGGTGATGTTGAAGGTGCAAAAGATATGCTACAAATGTCCAGATCTGTAAATGATGGTATGAAAGTGAGAAAAAGGTTGGACTATGGATCATTGTCTAGGTTCTGTTGTAATGTCAAGCATGAATGGGATAAAAGTGGCATGTCTAGAGCGCAAAAACCTTGTGCCAGAAATTCAATAATGGTATTGAATATGTTGGATCAAATAAGGAAAAGAGAATTTTAGAGCTGACTTTACCTGGATCATGTAATCGAATATGATGGGTTGGAACATGCGCTGTTTGGAAACCAGTTCAAAATGCGCAAGCTTGGACATTTGGACTTGCGAGTATGGT